TTTTTTTTTTACAAATTGCTTGTAGCTGAACTTTATATGAAAGAGGAAGCAAAGAGTGGTGTGGTGTGGTCTGGTTGATCAGATAACAACTTCCTGTTAGAATAAGGGAAATAACGGAGCAGCAGTAGCTACATTTTTGTTTTTGAAAAGTTGAGAGAAGCATGTTCTGTATACATATGAAAGACAATTTATAGTTCTTAAATAACAGCCTTAGCAGCACTTCTTAAACAAATAGTAACAATAATTACTATCTGGAGCACTGAGAGATTAAAGCAATTACATTTTTAAAAAGTCCAGATACTTAAGAGATTATCTGCAGTTGTAGCACTGTTAACATGTAGGAGGAGAAGCTTGCTTTGCCTGCTGAGCCCGCCTCCTATTGACCTTAGAGTTGCATTTGCTTATGTCAGTTGATCTCAACTTTGGTGGGAGTTTTTGGTGCATGAAGAACGCAAGGTACCCCAGGTTCCCTGTTTTGCCTCTTCCTCTTTTCTAGAAGTTAAGTAACTTGTGTTTGTAATGAAGTCTAGGCTGGACCTGATAAAAGAATTGTTTCATCTTGGCTCCAAGCCCCTTGTGTTAAGAAAACAAGGTCAAAAGGTAGCCTTGAGGCACATGTTCTGTGCCCGATAATGGGAATGTGGCACCTAAAGCCATCAGATCATGGGTTTCTGCACATTGGTGTACAAACTCTTGTGCTATTCTGATGGGCTTTTCTCTACCAAAGGCACAAAGAGAGAGAGAGGCTTCCTGAGCCTTCATTTTCTCGGCCCCCCTTGAGGCAGAATTACTTTTATTATACTCAGAGCAAGAAGGCTGTTAGTTCTCCCTGGGTACAATCCTAATGAGGAGGAGACATGGCTCTGTCTCTCGCCCATACCTATATAGGCCGATGGATCTGGCCATCCACAGGAGGGCTGGGTACAAGGCTGTTCCAGGCAGCTCTAGGATGCACCAGGCACAATACTTTACAGAGTTTATTTGGGTCCTGTATGTTTCTTAATGCAGTAAGTACCAGCTTTTCTTTTTTTACTTGGTTATGTACAGAAAAAAGAGGCCAATGTTCAGATTAAAAAAAAAAAAAAGGCACAAATTTATCTTCCTGGATTCTCCACCAGGAGGTAGAATAGGAGAAATTGTGCAGACACAATGTTAGATTTACTTCCCAAACAAACCAGTGATTTTTTTATTTTTATTTTTTTTGCTCACAGTGAACATATAAAAAGTCAAGACAATTATCATCCGAACTGTTGGAAGTAAGGAATTAATGACTTATTTACTTATTTATCTTTAACAAAAACACCCCTTTCTCTCTTCCTTGTTCTCCAGAAATCTCCAACTTATTAGTGGCAACAAAGAAAGCACAGGAATGGCAGCCAGTTTACTGTCTAGGTCAGTTGAGTTTCCATCGAATCCTCAAAGATGAAATTACCCAAGTAAGTAGCTAATGAATTTCACCTTGCTTTGCTGATCCTTTCATTCATTTAATATAACCAGACAAAAATGTGAAGCCTTTGTTCCCAGTGAAATAGGATGAAATCTCAGCAGTTTTAAATTTTTGCCCCAAGAGATTTTATTTGAATCATTATTTGTTTAACAAAGAGGTATGAAGCCACCCACTGTGAGCTCAAGCAGCGTCAGTCTGCATACTTGCGCAAAGGGAAGCGGGGTAGGAGGGAAAAAAAGAAAACAGACATCTTTGCATACCCTACAGATGCATCTTTCTGTCAGGAGGCACACTCTTTGTAGCAATTGTCAGACGTACCTGGAAAACCTCAACCTTCATGTTGGTGTTTGGAAGAGATCTTAATGCCTTCTGAGCTATGCTCTTCTCATTTCACTTTGTAAAAGTTCCTGTATTTCTGAAGGGCCTGATCCATTAGAGGAACAGAGCCTACATGCATTGCGATCATGCCCAGCAGGAGGGATAAACAGGTAAAGTAGCAACCTCCAAGAAAGCCGCTGAGAATTGAAGTTCTGTTATCAGAAGTGATGTAGAAAGCAGGGTAGATTTGTCCCTTATCGTGCCTTAGGAACATAAGCCTTTCAGAAAGCAATTAAGTTTTAGGCATGTAAATCACTTTGGTGCTTTTGAAAATTTTATTCAAGATTTTGTTTTGTTTTGGTTTTTTAACTGAAGATTTTAGGCTCAGGGTATTGATAGCTTGTAAATGCATGTATGTAGAAAAAAAAAAAGCCAACATTGTCAGCACACATGCTTTTCCTGGAAGAATCCCCTCTTAGAAAGTGTTTGTTCTCTCTCATATCTCCAAGAATGAACTCCCTGGAATATCGCTTCCTGCATTTTTTTGTAACGCTTTAGGCATCACATCAGTATCTTACTGTAAATAAGAGACTAGGCATTATTTATTCATTCTAATTACATTATATCATGGTGAATTTGTTTGTTATTAATGTAGATGCGATATCCCATTAATACCTAATGATCTCAGTGTAATGAGTATCCTTACAGAGAATACCAAGGGGGGAAAAGAATGATGAGCTGTCATTTTTTATTTTCTGTTTGGTAACAGACTGCTAACACTTGAAGCAACTTACTATTATTAATTTAAATGGGATGTGGGGTTTTGAGTAGCAGCCTAGGTGGTGATTCTGGTTTTTCTGGGTTTACACATCCAATTCACTTCATGGTTTGAAAATACATTTTGTCCTAGGGTGAACACCTGGGAAGAGGAACAAGGACACAGATTTACTCTGGGGTACTCAACTATAAGGAATATGAGAGTGAAGGGTACCAGGATGAAAAAGAGATCAAAGTCCTCCTCAAAGTCTTGGACCCCAGCCACAGGGATATTTCTCTGGCAAGTTATTTAGTCATTAGTATGACAGATAAGGAAGGAGCCAACATCACTTTGTATCCATTCAGAAGTGTACTGCCTAAACAATAGAAATTGCTTACAAAACACAGGATGTTGGGGGGAGGGGAGTTAAGACCAGCATTTTTTAGACACAAGATATGCTATAACAGTCATCAACACTTCTCAGGCACTTGGCAAGATCAGCATTACTCAATCAGGTGTTGGTTTCTTCAAATTAGATACAGACTTAGGCCCCAGCCCCTCAAGCACTCATGTATTCAGGTAACTTCTCAAATCAGCAGTCCCCTTAGCTAGGGACAGCATTTATACATAAACCGGTATAAGTGATTGGAAACAGGTTCAAATCTGTAACCCAACAGAAGTTCAGTGCACATAAACTTCTTTCAAAATGGCTGCAACTGTTTAAGATAAATTTGGATGGATGTAATATCAGACTTAACTGATGTAGGTTAAATCAGTTTATTGAACTTCTGCCCCAGATCCCTCCAGATTCAAGTTAAGTCACAGTCCCCCAGCATCCCAGGATGCTTTGCACCTCCTCTACAAACCCCCCTTGCCGGGGGGGCAGACTATTCTTGGCCCGAGCCATCTGTTCCAGCTGAGCAGGGAGGTGTGCTCTAGCATTCCCCCAGCTTCTGGCCTGGGCCACTGCAGCCATGTAGCTGCTTTTCTGGAATCAAAAGTGGATGTCTGTTCACTTACTTATTGGTTCAGTTTATGCAGCTTAGACTAACCTATGAAGAATGAATGGATTCAGCCTTGGGCTTTCTGACTGTTTGTTCTTAGCATTTGAGTGCAACCGAACACAGGTTTAACTGTTTGCTCCAAAACACTATCTAGGTTCCAGTTCTCCAGTGGGCTGGTAGGCAGGACTCTAGATTCTGTCACTGACACCATGTTCCACAAGCCAGTTAATTTGTTTAAGCTTCATTGTCTCTGTGATATGTAAACAGAGGCACAACATTAGCAAGAGACTTTGAGAGCCTTGGGAAAGAGTTGAGACATTGCATGCCATGCAGATGACAGCCTCTCATTCCATACATCTACCACTTTCACATGTTGATTCTGCCCATTATCAGAGACACTGGGCTTTCCTAAACTACGCACACATCCTTGTTACCTCACCCTTGGTTTGTTTCTTTTAAGTGTTCTGCTTTCCTTCAGGGGAAGGCAGTGAAGTGCTGATATTTACTTTTGCTATATCACTTTGACAGGCTTTTTTTGAAACGGCAAGCATGATGAGGCAGGTTTCCCACAAACACATCGTCCTTCTTCACGGGGTTTGTGTCCGTGACGTGGAAAGTGAGTAGTTACAATTGGTTGGAATGCATTTCTTCTGAAGTGAGGGTAGAGACTGTCTTTGCTCAGGGGCTGACAGGTCCAGGGTTGGGATTTCTGGGTGCCACCTAGCTCTAGAAGTAGAACTGGGATGAGAGGCCTTTTCCCCTGCTTCAGATCATAACACGGGTTTCACTTGTTTTGCTATCATTTGAGCAAATCCTTATACTCCATGGTTCCCTGGGATATCGACAGGTCTGCTAGTAGAGGTCAGAGTCAAGAGACGTAGGGACAGTGCTCACATCATATCTGGTCTGTGTCCATTGGGCTTTTTGTCTTCAGTATCGTTGATCTGGACTCTTTTGCGAGGAGAAGGTTCATTTTTTATTTAAAGCAGATGAAGCAAAGACTTACTAGTGTTGCATAGCTGTCTCCCTCGAGGAGACCCAGTTACACTTTGGATATTGTTCCAAACAGTACTATTGTGGCAGCACGGTGTGTTTCTCTTTATGTAGATATTATGGTTGAAGAGTTTGTTGAATTTGGACCTTTGGATCTCTTTATGCACCGGAAAAGTGATGTTCTTACAACTCCTTGGAAGTTCAAAGTAGCTAAACAGCTTGCAAGCGCACTAAGCTACTTGGTAAGTTTCATATCTCTAATTACATGATCTAAGTCACAAGATGTAGTTCAATTCACGCCAGAGTGGGGTTACTGTTGAATAGACTGCAGGGGACATCTGTGACCTAGTGAAGAGAATGGAAGTCAGCATGCTTCCTTTCAGGTCTCAGCATACTGTTTTAATGAATTTCCAAGGCTTCCGGAGTAGATGAGTGCATTTTTAATGACAGATCAAGTGTAAGTTCCATTGCTCTCATTGATTTATGACCTTGGTTAAGTCAGTTTCTGTGTGCTTCATGAAGTAGGCACAATATAATGCTCATCCACTTTTGCAAAGTGCATTGAAATCTGTGGAAGAAGGTGGTTTATCAATACAAAAGATACATCTCTTGCACATACTCCAAGAGAATTTTCCCCAACCTTTTTTTTAGCTCAGAATACACCTTTAAATATTTTGCACCCAGCGTTTTGGCTGCATAAACAAATGCTGTTGCAAAAAACTGCCACATCTTTGAATGTACTGTAACTTTTCTGTTGAATACAGGAGGATAAAGATCTAGTACATGGAAATGTGTGTACTAAAAATATACTGTTGGCAAGAGAGGGAATAGACAGTGAATATGGTCCTTTCATAAAGCTGAGTGACCCAGGAATTCCAATAACTGTGCTGTCCAGACAAGGTACAGTATATGAACCCAGGTTATTATTCTTAACATGGTTGGGAAGGGATAAAAAATGTTTTTTATTAGCATTGTTTTCCATTCTCTTTTCCACTTCATACAGTTCCAAGTTACATGTATTCACAAAACTGCATTGGAGCGAAGGAAAGTTGCATATAGAAGTTTTGAGCCACATTCTAGTTTCTTTCCATTTTAAGCATGCTCTCTATACAGTGTTGGGTCTAACGAGCTAATCTAGCAGGAATCTCAATGTTACGAAGGTTGCAGGACACACCCAATATTTGTAAAAGTCACGAGAATATACTTTTATTTAGGCAGGTGTTTCAGACTAAACTGTTCCCTAAGAATAGGTTTTTCCTAACAGGCTACAACAGTTCTAGAGAAAACGTGATAGAACACCATACTATACTGCATCTCCAAGGGGGGGGTGGGGGGAGAGAGAGAGGCAGTTTTCTATGTTTTGATACTACAGACCCTACCAATTCTGCATTTCATCTCAGAATGTGTTGGCCGAATACCTTGGATTGCACCAGAATGTGTGGAAGATTCCAAAAATTTAAGCATTGCAGCAGACAAGTGGAGTTTTGGCACAACGCTATGGGAAATCTGCTACAATGGAGAAATACCCCTGAAGGATAAGACATTAGCAGAGGTAAAAGTTTGTTGCATCAGTCTTGTGTTGCTGCTTTAGCACTTTGATGCATGTCCAGATTGAGTTTATGGAAGTTTAATGTTTTCAGTTCAGTCAACTCTTATTTCAGTCTCAGGTATTTCAATCTCAGGTGGGTTTGATAGATAAATACTAGGACCTGGGCTAGACTTCCATACAGAGAGCACTAGTTAATGCTAATTACAGACCCTTTCCCCCCTTTTCACAGTGGCTTTCCTGAACCAGGGTAATAGGTGATTAGCACTAACTTCAGGAACATTTCGTGCATCCACATAAAGCAGTTGTACTTGTTACCTCTACACCAAACTACATATCCCGAAGCACTTCACTAAAAGACACAGCTTCACTGAAATGCCTTTACCTTTGAGGAGGAGAGCACGAGCCAGCCAGCTCAGAGCAGGAAAGAGGAAGAAGCACATGTAGCTTGCAGCACTGCTCCAACAATAGCACATAAAGAGCCTGCCATCTTGTTTTTCATAGGTTTACTTCACTTGCTAACAACCACTCTCTGAGCCACTCCCAAGACTCAAAATCCCCTTGCAGCCCATACACTGTTCCCTCTGCTACTAGATTTAACTTCCTCAGAACATTTTCTGAATAGGCAGCTGCAGCTCTTGGCTGTGATTATTGGTAAATTGTCCATGTTAATTAACACAGAGCCTCTTGCTGCTCCCTGCCATTCTGCCAGACCTCTTCCAAAGTGACTGTACTTTCCTCAACACCAGCCTTCTGTAGCCTAAAACATTGAGAGTCTGAGATGGGATTCCTCTCCCAAGATATTAACATACCACAGTCTCTCCTCCCCTGGGGGGTTTTTATGCCTCTCCCTTTGTCTTCTACTTGCTCTCATGGTGAGATTTCTCCACGTTCCCTTTTTCTCATCCTTCCTCTGTGCCTGGCTCTCAGCATCTCTGCTTCCCCCATTCCTCACAGCCGTTGTTGGGACTTGCCACCCTCCCCCCAACCCATCCTATGGGCTCCCACCTTCCTCTGTTTTTAATCAGCCGAAAGTCACATATGACTGGAAGGGGTCGCTGGATCACTGCGTCCAGCCATCTGCAATCCTGTTACACTGAAACGTACTTACCCTTGAGGAAGAGAGCAGGAGCGGGAGAGGAGGGCATGTGACTTGCAGCCCTGCTCAGCGTGGTGTAAGCAATCTCATAAATTGATCAAACTACATTTTAGAAGAAGTTAGGATTTCTGTCCTCCCTATTGGTAGCCTTGTTCAGAACCTCCCTGTTCTGCTGGTTTGGAATTGTCTGCTAATTCCCACCCTAGATTTATCCATGGCCAGATCATACTCAGAACTATTGGAAACCTCATCAGAAAGATTTCTGCTGTGCTTCCTCTCCCTTGAATTTCTGCTCTTTCAAACAAGCAGCTCTTGGACTCAGCCTGGGAAGGAGGGTTGCATGGCAGCACACCAGCTGCTTGACTGTTTGAAGGCAGAATACCAAGACCCTTACCCACTGCTTCTGAGAGGTGGTTAATTCAGGAGGGAGCTGAGCTGCTGAAGAGCTAGTTACCCTGGTAAAGTGTGCTCCCTCTGTTTCCTTTTAGTCCACAACTTGCACCAGACTCTCCCCACACCAATGGTAATTGCAGAGATTTTAAATCAACATTGGCAGTTCATTGTTTTCCATTAGCAAAACACTCTGGCGATCTCTCCCACCACTGATGGAGTCCCACTCAGCGCTCTCTCTGTTCAGTGCATAATTAGTATAGCAAACCTGATGTTGCTACTGGCGTGTACACACCTCCCCCTTTCGATCAGGGTTTAGTGAGTGGCTGAATGCACCGCTGCTTTTAGGCCACAGATTCAGTTACATAATCCTGGGTGGGACGGCTGTTCATATGCACTTTTTGCAACATCTTGGGACACGTTGCTCACAATTCTTATCCCAGGAACCTTTCTAGGTACAACAGACACAGATGTTTGAACGATTACATTTGTTCTGGCTTAAAATGGTTTCTTCTGGGACAAATGTGACTTCTGTTTGTACCCTAAGTCAAGCTGTTTGTGAGACGTGGCTTGGCAACAAGGTAACTGTTCGAAAAAAATGAACAACTCCAACCTGTCTGAGGAACATGTTAGCTGCTCCAGGGTACTTCAAACGCTAAAAAAAAGATTCTCCTCAGAATAGATTGGCCAGAGTAGCTGGTGGAAAGGCACTGGTTTGTGGATGCCACAGAGAGCAAAGCTGTTTTTTTGTTTTGTGGAAAACGTCTTACAAAAATACCTGAAAAGATTTCAGATAAGAAGGTGTATGGTACACGCAGAGGTTTTTCATTTTGCCTTGCAGAAAGAGAGGTTTTACGAAGGACACTTCATGCTGGTGACACCATCCTGCAAGGAGCTCGCTGACTTGATGAAACAGTGCATGAACTATGACCCCAATCAGAGACCATTCTTCAGAGCAGTTATGAGGGACATTAATAAACTGGAGGAACAAAGTAAGAAATGTGTTTGTTAGTTTGATCTGGGCTTTATTTAGCACTTTATTTAGCAAAGTTGGACACCGAAGTAGGGTTTTACACACTAGCAGAGATTTCCTCTGACAAAGCATGAGAGCTGTGCAAGTGCTGTGGGTGAAGTTACTGATAAGCGACAGCAGATGTATCATTCAGTGAGTACATACAAAGAGAATATAACCATTTAATTTGTGAATTGCCATTAATTTGCCACAAATTGTGGCACAGCTGACGGGGATAAATCAAGCTGAGTTGAAAGGACTGTAGCAAGACTCAGTATAGCTTGTTCAGTGGTACCCAGCCTCCTTGGCCCATGGGCCAGATTCAGCCTGCAGGCCCAGTCCAGTGTACGGTGCCCAGCCAGGGCCCAATGCAGCTGTGCAGGGACAGAGCCAATGCAGCTGGGGCAAATATGGCCTTGTGGGCAGGGAGAGCCATGACAGTGTTAATTCTCTCCATTCCTCCACCACCAAATTTCTGGAGGTGTGGGGAGATCCACGGGCTGGATTGCATGGGACTGCAAGCCAGATCTGACCTATGGGTCATGAGCTGAAGACTCCTCCTGGCCTAGTTTCAAGGCAATATCTGGGGCCAGTACAACTTTCACCAGTGTCATCTGGGAGTGTGTTGACCCAATTAGGGCCTGCAGCTTAATCAGATATATTGGTCCTGGGCCAACTCTGTTCCTGATTCAGCTTGCTCTGAAATTGCTAGAAGGCATTACATTTTGAAAGGAAGCTTGTACATGTAGGAAGGCCAAAGGATATAAAAATTATGGTGAACTTCCCTTGATACTGAGTAACCCTCAGACCTGGCTTGCCAGTTGCCATAGTGCTGTCAGCTACACTAAATAGCCAGTTATATCTCTAGAAGGCTTAGGGCTTTCCAGCACCATCATCCCCTTGTGCTGGGGAAGCTGAATCTGAATCTGGGAGATGAATCAATCAGAAGAGGTAGGTATTGAGATGAGCAGCCAACACCTGGATATGGTCAATGCAGGTAGAAAACTTTGCAAGATGGTAGAGTCCAGGACGGGGACAAGGATAGACATGAGCAAAGAGCTTTGCTACAGAGAGACTGGAGGTGCATCAAATACCTCTAAAACCAAAAAACCTCTGGGAGCCTGTCCACCTTGAACTGCATCTGTGTTCTCTTCCATGGCAGATCCTGATATTGTGTCTGAAAAGAAGCCTTATGCAGAAGTTGATCCCACCCTGTTTGAAAAACGGTTCTTGAAGAGAATCCGTGACCTAGGGGAGGTGAGTTGAGGGGCACGTTTAGGCTGGGAAGAAGAAACATGGTGGAGCCCCCCCATTCTTGCTGCTGTTGTTCTCAGCAGCATGGCTCTTTGTCCCACTCCCTTCCTTCCCCACACGCTCCTTGCCAACCAAAGGATTTTCCTGGGGCAGAAGGGTCTTTCTGAAAAAGCAGCTGTATGAACTGCTAAGCAGCTTGTCTGTGGGACTGCTAGAGGGGATGATATGAGTGTCCCCCCAAGAGAAGATAGGTGCACACCAATCTGAGGGCAAGATCTAGCCCAGGTGACCAGAGTTTGCCTTCAGCTTGTCCTTCAAAGGAGCTATATCCCCAGTCCATGGTGGGTTTGGTGCAGGTTTTCTGTATCACAAGAGCGGGGAAAAAAGAACGGTCAGTGTCTTGACTATTACACTGAGAATTGCCTGGCATCTCTTTCCTTTAAAACCAGGGTCACTTTGGCAAGGTTGAACTCTGCAGATACGATCCAGAAGGTGACAATACAGGAGAGCAGGTGGCTGTAAAGTCCCTGAAACCAGAGAGTGGTGGAAATCACATTGCTGATCTGAAGAAAGAGATTGAAATCTTGCGGACTCTTTATCATGATAACATAGTAAAATACAAGGGGATCTGCACAGAAGACGGTAAGCTGTCAAGTAGAAAGAGAAAAAAGTCACCAGATTTTTCCTTCTACTGTTCTGCATGATGGCTTACTTCATGCAGATGAACTTGGGTCCTCTTGTTTTTTGCAAAAGAAGTTCAGATGTCTCTCTGAAATTCTTGCCCCTCCCTGGTTTTCATTTGAAGTAACCGTGTGGGTCACTCTGGTACCAAAACTTGGTTTTGAAAAACGTGTATGCAGGAATACTGCTTGCTAAGTTTCAACAGGGAGCTTATGGTTCAACAGGGAACAGGATTTATGGTGGCAGCAGGGACGTAAAGTGCTAAATCATACAGAAATACCTGCTCTGTCTAGTTGCTGCTAAATTCCTGTTTACATGAAAAAGCAGTCGAGGCTCATGGACAGAGATGAGACCTTTATTAGACCAAACATTTTTTTGCAAAAAAAAAAAAAGTCTTTACATGTTCACATGAAATGTTCTTCTAACACAGTGACTGTATCATCTTTAGACATAACGAATTTGAAGTCTGTGGCTTTCTATACAGCACCCAACAGAGTGGGTGTCACTAATTTTGACTGATGCCTTTGGCCATTACAGCCACGTACAGAGTCATTGACTATGAGGAAAGAAACTCTTATCACTGCCAGGTCCCTGCTGACCAGTGCAGACAAGCCCGGCACAGCAGGTGCTGGCATTTGTCATACAGGGAAGATTATATCCCTGCAAATGAACAGCCCCGTTTTTCTTTTAGGAGGAAGTGGAATTAAACTTATCATGGAGTTTCTTCCTTCGGGGAGTCTCAAGGAATATCTCCCTCGCAACAAGAACAAAATCAACTCAAAACAGCAGCTGAGATACGCAGTTCAGATCTGCAAGGTAAGACTGGAAAGACGCCACCATTCCAGAGCTGGTGCATTACCATGCATCTGGCAGATCAGGCTCCCTGGGGATGGAGCTATTGTTATTGCCATAAACAGCTGAGGAGTGCACAGGGAGCAGGGAACAGCTCCAGGCATTGTTGGTGGAAGCAAAAAGAAAAGAGCTTTGAGCGTAGCGGTGGAGCTGTCATCTGAATGGTGAAGGGCGAAAGGAGATCAACCAAGGGAAATGAGGGAGAAGCTGGGGAACAGTTTTATGGGGAGATGGAGAGAAAATATGGATTTAACACTAGGGAAGTGACCAATTACTATGTCCTCTCTGCAGGGAATGGATTATTTGGGCTCCTGTCAGTATGTTCACCGGGACTTGGCAGCCAGAAACGTCCTTGTTGAAAGTGAGAACAGAGTGAAGATTGGAGACTTTGGCCTCACAAAAGCTATTGAAACAGATAAGGAATACTACACCGTGAAAGATGATCTTGACAGCCCTGTCTTCTGGTAATAGGCTACCACAACCCCACTTTGTTAAATAGTCTATACCCCTCACTGGAGCCATAGGCTCCAAATATTTGTTCTGTGTTTTTTCCTGTTTTACTAATGTACTGCAGCCCAGGAAGACAGCAGACTGACTGCCTACACCAAATGCATCCACTCATTTTAACACTCCCATTTTAATCTTGATTTGTAGTACTCGATCATGTAGCTTGACATTGTTTGCAGCAGCTCAAGAGCTCGGGTGAGATAACAGAGGTATTACTAATAGGCACACATGTTCTCTCCAAGTTCCTATATGCCACACAAGTGATATCACAGATGAATTATTCTAAACATATGCAGCTTGAGCATTCAGGCTGTAAATAGACATCTCACTTGAGGTGGTCCTGATTGATCTGATGCAAAACCTGGGATAAAAGAGGCACAGCCCTTTCCCCAGCCTTTTCAAGTTGCATTGCTGCTCCCCTGCCAGTAATGTCCAGGGAGAGCACACCAGGACCCCCAGATAACTTGAACTGAGCCACAACCAACCTAGATGTACACAGCATTGTCTCAGGGGAAAAAGTACTTGAAGTGGGACAATACACTGGTACCCCTGTAGGATTCCAGGAGAAATGCCATGTCTAATTGTTTGCACCCTCAGTCATGCTGTTAAGAAAGTAATTGTGTCGAGTAAATTTGCGCAGGTTTGAGGAAATGTAATGGAATTGTGCTCTGTCCATAGGTACGCTCCAGAATGCCTGCTTCAGAGCAAATTTTACATTGCTTCAGATGTCTGGTCATTTGGAGTGACATTGTATGAGTTACTTACCTACTGTGACTCTGAATCCAGTCCAATGGCAGTGAGTGGTTTTGAAATCATTTTATTTCAAGATCAGTTATTTTATTTTAATTCGATCCTATTCATGCATATCAGTGTCTTCAAAAATAATTCTTTGAGTTTTGCTGAAGTTATCATCTGAACACCGCAGCTGGCTCAAAAGCAGAATACATTTCTCTGGATCAGGGGTTGGCAGCATCTTCAGTGCTATGGGACAAAATAATGCAGCTTAGCCTGAGGCGGGCTGGTGCTTCCAACATGGCTGACACTGCAGCTGCTTGTCCCCATTGCCAGTGCTTCTCCCTTGCTGCTAGTGGGCCATAGGTGCTGACCTCTGCTCTAGATTATGAAAGCAGGAAATTTCCAAAAGCGCAGCTAAACCCCGTAACCAACCAATCTGAGCATCTGCCTAAGGCAGCGGTGCCCAAATTTTCTTACTCTCTGGGCCAGAGGCAAGATCAGTTTCGGGCTGGATTTGCTGCCTGGGATCATGTTGTGGGCCAGATCCAGTGAGGTTAGTGCACAGGTATGATCCAGTGCTTGGCCCCAGCCCTGTGCCACCGCATCAGTCCCACCACCTCCGCTCCTTGTGACAGTGCAGGCACATGGGGCCATGTCATCTGGCCTGTAAAGTTGGAAATTTGGTAACGTGGAGAGCACCCATGGCCTCAGGCACTGGCTGTCCTAGCGGAGAAGCTGTTTCTAAGAGTTGTGCATGTTGTATTCTCCTGACACGACGGGATGAGAAAGAAATGGGTGCCCTGTATGTTAACCTCCAAAATAAGGTCTGCTATTAGTTTTCATTTTGAAATGCCAGTATTATGCATCTCAAGTCTAAGTGTTACAGATTCACTTTCATAATTTTTTCTTTATATAGTTCTTAAAAGTGGCTTTTACTCTCTATAGGAATTCTTGAAAATGATTGGTCCCACCCAAGGCCAGATGACAGTAGCACGGCTTGTGCGTGTATTACAAGAAGGGAAGCGTTTACCACGTCCACCAAACTGCTCAGAAGAGGTATGAACTAGATCACCAGCAGGGTGTATACAACAAGCTTTCCTTGCGCTCTGCTTTAAATTTAACAGCAAAAGACTATCACATGATTGTGGCTGACAAGTCTGTTTGCATTTTTGAAAGAATGAGAAGATTCCTTTCAGCTGAGGGTTTTTTAAGCTTCGCTGACGGGTTCTGATGTCTGAAGCCCAGGTCTTTCTAGGGTCTGAGTCCAAAGAGAATTCATTAAAAATCCCCTTGAGTCTTGAAGTATGGAGCTGGTATTTGTGCCAGTACAGCTGTGTTAATACAGCTGCCTCCTTCAGAGGAGGACCAAACTGCAACCATCAGGACCAAAAACAAGTGTTTCTATTTCTGGGACAGGACAGTTCACATCCCTGTCCTGGAAGTGGGCTGTTGGTGCCTGATTCCACTGTTACATGTGGAGCCTTCCAGTTGACTTCAGGGAAGGTGGATCAAGTTTTTAACCAAGGAGCCCAGCCACTAGAGGGAGCCATAACCAAGAGAATGAAATCAGTAATTAAATGTTTGGGGCACTTTTACACATGCAAGTGCCCCAGTGCTGGGCACTTTGAGAAGTGCCTGGTGCTACAGCACTTATAGTTGTATAAATGGCGAAACACGCATCAGTGCCGAAAAACTAGTTGCAGTGTGCTTTTGAACTAGAACACCGCAGAGGTGCTTTAGTTCAAAAGTGCACCACCATGCATTTCACCGCTTTTACAGCTGATTTCACCGCTTTTACAGCTGCACACAGTGCAGCACAGTTTGCCTTGGCTCACATGCAGAGTTTGTGTATAAATGCCTTTCACTGCTGCTTTAAAGCAGGTAGTCTGTGAATCTGCAAAAAGCAAAGTATACTTAGAAACAGCCATATCGACTTCACCTGTACATGGTTCTGATTACTGACCCCCACTGACCTTTATCTAAATACTAGTCAAATAAGATTTCATATGGAAAACTTGCTGGCACACAGTGGAGTATCTTATTGACTGACACACCTACCGGCTGTGGATTTGGTCACTTGTCTTTTTGGGAAGATGAGAAGTCAAATTTTTATCGTCTAAACATGAAATTCTCATTTGTTTCTAGGTTGATCAGCTGATGAGGAAGTGTTGGATGTATATTCAGACTGAACGGACCACCTTTCGCAACCTTATTCAAGGATTTGAAGCACTTATAAGTAAAACCTAATTCACATTTTTGTATTGTCAGTGCTATAAATGTGTCAAAATACAATGTGCAAGTCTTCTATTTTTAAATACTGTAGTTTGTACTCTGGCTATGCTAATATGCATTTAAAAGTTTCTTTTCTCCAAGGGTTTACTTTTTGTTTTTGTTTAGTCAGCACACGGATCAAGACAACTCAATATCATAATAGAAATTTGTTTCTCAAAAAGGCATGTTTGATCAATGTGTACATTATATGGATTATATTGGGCTAATCAGAATTGAAAAACGTGTCAAGAAAGACTAATTCTCAGTGCCAACGTATGTAGCGCATTAAATAAATATTCTGTCCTTAGAGGGTATACTTCCTAATTAGCTGAGCCAGAAGGCATACAGAACTTGCCAAGGCAACTGCTTTTCAAGTATGCAAACTTTTATGGGTGTACAAAATTTTTTTTTTGAAACACTGGCTGACAGAAAACCCTATAATGTCCTTCATGTGCACAGGAGTTTTAAAAACATAATTAAAAAAAATCAGCACAATCATTATGCAGGCTCCTACCCTGGGGGTTTTTAAGAGGAGGTTAGATGAACACCTTGCTGGGGTCGTTTGACCCCAGTACTCTTTCCTGCCATGGCAGGGGGTCAGACTAGATGATCTGCTCAGGTCCCTTCCAACCCTAGAAACTATGAAACTGTGATTCCATTTATCAATCAAGTGTTTACTAGCCAAACAACTTTGACCCAGTTTAAAATCCTAACATTTTATGTTGCAGGGGAAAAAAAGAGATTTTAAATGTCAAGTTTCCATTTATACACATTCAGGATCATGCATCTGAGTTTAATTTACCTTAAGTAAAAAATTTCCCACTGTCTAAAGCACCATATAACATACAAATGCTCAGTGTGCAAGCATAGTACTCCTTGGCATGAAATGCAGGAGAGCTGCCAGAGTTGGTAAAACATGGCTGGGAAATCAGGAATGCATGTATGAGAATAACAAAATAATAATCAGACTAGAGTAATGCACTCCAGGCCTGGGAGTACTCCTCCAACCTTGTCACCAGAGAATTCACTTGTCAGGGCTGAGACCTGAACAGCTGTGAGGTCTCCCTAGATAAAGCAATGTTTGCTTATTGTCTGCCACCACAATTAGTATCTTCACATGAGCTGCCCGCAAACAATTCTTTGACTGACCCACTGTTACATTTATTAAGACCTGTTAAAAAGAAGTGTTGGACAAGCATGAGTATGTAAACCTAGACTAGCTGCACCTTAAACAACAGCACTTGGATCTTAATTTGGTGGGGGCAGACTCAAAATAGGCAATCGCCAAAAAACTCAGTGTGCCAGAGTAAAAACGTATCCAACGAAGTCAGGCTGAGCCTGGAGCCACTTGAGGTCTCTGGTCATAATTCTGCTTTTACACAATCTGCAGTTGAAGTGAGGGCCCTGTTCTGTAAATACAATAGCCTTTTACAGGAATAGTTCATTTCAGTTGGAAACCTTTTGCTGACAGCCTCTCTAGAATTTAAGGCAATACTGTTTTCCCTAACCCTGGATTCAGAAAATGCTTTGAGGGACTATTCAGCACTGCCTGGAACTAAAAACTATGTCTTTATTAAAATATAAATGTAATTACTAAATGGTAACCAATTTAGATTTATTTTTAAAGTATTATCTGTTTTATTTCTGTATCCCATAAACATATAAACAGGCACTTTGTTACTCTTTTTACAAACAAAACTAATAAAAATGTTTTCTCTGTACAGCTGTCTGTTTTAATTCTAAATTAAATTGTGTGAAAGTCTCTCTGACTTACCTTCCACAAAGTATCTAAAAGCATGCTAGCTAAAAAAGTGGAACGTTAAAAAAAATAAAATAAAAGATGGCTTCCAGCATGTAATTGTAATCTGGAGGGGTTTTTTCTTCCACAGAATTACACTGTAAATACACCAGCAGTTTATTTTAGTTAAAAAGAGTGACAATTCAGAAAAGTTGCTTACACAACAGTGCAAATCCAATACTACAGGTGAATTTTCAATATCAGATAATACCAAAAAAGCCAATTATTCTTGTAAAAATATTCATTATTCTCATGGGTATCTTCATAAAACTCCAGATGAGCAGTGTGTACATGTGCATACTACATCGACTGTGTAAAAGGGATAAATATCTTTTTTTTTAAAGTGCATCTCAGCTACAGTAAAAATGTGGAGTTTATTCAAAACGTTCCTTTAAAAAAAGTAAATTTTGAAAATGTCTTAACAAGGAACCTCAGAAATATACTTACAAAGAGATTAAATTAAATTTACAGCAATACCTAGCTGAAACACAACATTAATTACATTCTTGCTCCATTTAGTCACAGATGGAAACTGAGTTTCAAAAAAACTGGAATCCACAGCAAGTCACAGGCATTTTATTCATAATTTAACTTGCCTGAAAAATGGATAATGAAAACACAATTTTCAAATCACTGATACAATAATGCATAGGCAGAAAATAGACACCCTAATGAAATTAAAGAAATCTTGTGATGGGGCCATATATAATAAAAACACGACGTTGCAAAAGATATCAAACTTAGAAACAATGTTGTTGACTAAAACTCAGTGCTCAGTGCACAGGTCTTGAAGAGAGGCAAAGGCAGGCTTGGACTGTGTCATACGAGGCAGACATTACAAACAAGTGCGTCCCTGCCAACTGAGTACAAGCACTAGTTGCTATACAGAGGTAATTATTTGGAGAAACAACCCTCCAGTCTAAAATTAACAAGGTGGGGCTTAGCCAGAGAAAGTGGGAAGTGTCATGTGAAATAAGGAGTCTGAAGTTCAGAAAGGAGAGAATAAGTTTTTCATGGAAGAGAAGTGTTCAAAAGGGGAACTGTCAGTGTCTGCAAATAAGAAATCCAGATGTTCTACTTAATGTCCTATAATAGATCACATATACTCCTCACACAAATGCCAGCAAGAAGCCATTTTCTGTCTAAATAAAAAAAAAGATAAGCTGAGAACAAAAGTAACATGCGGGGGGCTAAATCCTGTAGCTTTGGGGAGCCAATGGCACTCAGCACTTTGGTGGACAGCGACTGTGATGAACGTCAAACAAGACACGGGAAGACTGACTGCTTGTTGTGGAAAAGCAGAGGGTGGGGTAAAAGTGGTCTACTGAGGATGGGCATACTGGACTATGAAGTATTTCCTCCTTCTAGGGAATGTCCCCACAAACACGCATGTGTGGTTTGTGATGCCTCAAAGCAGTATTAAGTGCTGCCAACTGCACGCCTCAAAGCAGTATTAAGTGCTGCCAACTGCACACGGTGCATGTGTTCACTCTGCTGCTGATTTGCAGCACTGGATTTTTTTGACACTGGGGGGGTCCTGGTGTAAAAAAACAAAAACAAAAACTGCTGCTAAAAGCAGCGTGGCACATGTGGCAGCAGTGCACACTGCCAGAAACAGAAGCCTGGCTGGCCAGAGCCATGCTCTGGCTGCTGGCCAGGCTCTGAGTGGCCAGATCACCACCACTGCTCCCCCAAGAGACCCCCAAGTAAGGCTGCTGGGACCAGCACAGGTCCTGACCCCAGCCTCTCCTACCCCAGCTGGGACAATTTGCCCCGCACCAACCCCATGTGCAGGGGTGCGCACAGCAGCAACACAAATTGGTGCTGCTGCTATTTTTGTTGTGGAAACTACACACGCCTGTAAGTGGGGATGCTGCGCTCCTAGTGTCCAAAGTCCTAAACCACCCACAAGTTTAGCAGTCAGCTCCTTAAGGTTTCCTTTATCTCTGATGAGCCTTTATACCAATCCACTTCCAAAATCATTAACTTCAAAAGCCTCACCTTACTACCGCTTATGTGCTCCAAGTTGTCTTATTGTTGTGGCAACATCAAATTGCTTCTTGCCTTTCAGTTTTTGGGAAGCTGTTCACTCGCACAAAGCTAGATCCAATGTGTAGCACAGTGGCACTCAACCTTTTCAGACTCAAGGCATCTCTCCATAACTTTGGTGAACTAAATGGCACCCTATCTCTCAAATTAATTTATTACAGTGCTTACCTGCTCACACAGTGTGCTGGTCAGGAACAAGCTTGTATTTACCTTTGTGCACCGTATGTCACTCTTAAAAGGTTCACACAACACCCCAGATGTCACTAGGCTAGTAGGAGCTAGTATTTCAGATAGATTTTACAATCACAGGGAGGAAAATGTCCCCTCACAAGCAGTATCTTGCATAGGAAAAATGACAGGTGATTTTTTATCCAGGAGGTGACCAAGAATACATACTTTGTATAAATTCTGTTCATATCTGATTTGATATTGCAAGGCTCATAGGCACACAACAGTGTCTTACTTCTAACAAAACATTTCCTGAAAAATCCTGGATTCCATGCTATGCCTCCATTCAAAGTGTAAGGACACCAAAAACATAAAAGCTTTAAGTGCAGAAGGGTAAACCCTGGAATGGATAAACCTCAGAATTTTAGTGAAATGATTACTAAGACTCATTCAGCTCAACTTCCTCCTCTAAGGATCAAGACTTCTCCCACACCAATATTCTTATTGGTTTTGACTCGCACCAAAACCTACCAAATTTAATTCCTTTACAGGCTGAAGATGATTGTTAATTTCAGCGATGTACAATAAGACAAAGTAGTAATGGAAACACCATTACTGTATTTAGCAAGGCAGGTGACACTAGTGGAGAATATCTAAGTAAATATCTTTTTATTGCTACATAATAGTTGATTTGGCAAATTTGCCTGCTGTACAGGTTTGTTCCTTTTGGGTGTCTGTAACTCATATATATGGATGGTGTGCGTGAAGTTAAGGCAGCAATAAAGAGCACAGGTAAGAAAAGATTGCCTTTTCCCTTTAAGGCAGGATCTGTTGACTGGATATCAATAAACACGTTTCTTTTTAAGATAGGATTCTGCATGATGTACTGTATTGTCCTGAGCATGCTGGCCAATGTATTCCACTGGCCCAGCATCTGGGGAAGAAATGAGGTACGAAGAGCCTCGCTTTTCACTTCTAACTGGTGCCACCTGTGGGAAAGAAAATAAGTGACAATTGAGTAGACCAAACATCCTAAGCTGAAAGTGGAAGAGTAGGTTCAGATGTGGGAGCTACTGCACCGACTGCACAAACTCCCATTCTCCTTAACGCATAGCCACGGTTCACTGCTGTGATACTTGAAAGTTTGAATCCTTTCCCAGACAGTGTAACTGCAAGTGCAATCCCATAAGTGAGTGTGCATGTCTGTGTAGGTACTGAGTAAAAATGCATTTTGTAGCTTATATTAAAAAAAAAAAAAAAAATTTAATGTAATGCAATAAACTGTTCTTCTGAGCCTAAAATGTACCAATGCAATCTACTGCCATCACCAGCTGCAGAAATGTTTCTCAGCCACTACAGAGCAGGTGATTCTGGGATGCACGTTTCATACTGCTGTGCAAGGGAACCCCATGGACAGGCACCTGGGGCTGTTGTCCCACAGAATCTGGCCACCTGAAGCCCTGGAAGCAGCAAGGCTCCAATCCTGTAGGACAATGGCCCAGAGCAACATCTGTACCTGCCAAACAATCAGATAAGCTGCACTTGGACACGTCCCAGCACAACTGACCCCAGGACAAAAACAATGTCCCTTTGTAGCTTTAGATGGACAAGTACTACTAAGACAGCTAGTAAGCTCCACAGGATCTAGCCTACAGGGCCATACCAAGACCTACTTGTTTTCCTTTAGTGGTATTTTGCATCTCTGAAGTGAATTATTGCCACTTACTTCACCACTTGCAGCTCTAGGCCTGCAAATGAGTTAAAGCAGCAAGTACCTGTACTTGTGAAATTCAATTGCAAGCACAAGCTGTACAGATGCAAATTACACAGGAGAAGAAGCAACTGAAAACATACCTTGAACTGGAAACATTTAAGCCATTTTGCATTTACTAAAGTTCTGGAGATCCTGTCAACTGAGAATCCCCCACATTCTGCCTACATGAACAGATGGACAGACGAGCGCCTAGACACACACGCACTCTTACTAGGAGGACAGCTTTTCCAGTTACTTGTGTAGACCTTTCACACTGCCCCAAAACCATTAAAAACAGTTGTAAAACACAGCCGCTAGTACCTGAAACTGCTACTTCTCCATTGACTAGGTTTTCCATTACTGCCGACAGCATGTTACACAAATAAAGGTGAACATGAGAGAGACCATAAACTCAGTGTTGTGTTAAAAGCAAATAAATGTCCCAAGCTATCATTATTCTGTTTAATAATCTGTTTGCCACCCAATTTGGATGTGTTTCAAAAATAGATTTGTTTTCTAAAGAACCGAGTACGGACTTGGTTTTTTTTTTAAATGCAAATGTCTCATAGAAACACTGTTTTGACAAAAAGTGTTAGTTGATGTTTTTGGACAGACAGTGACAGTGACCTCAGAATGGCCCACAGTCTGGGTCTCACCTGGGATGGAGAGGCCTAAGAACCACAAAGTGGAAGCAGTATAGCCTCTCAGAGCTCACTGGAGCACAGGCAGTGCCATGCTAACAGTAATGCTGCTCCAGGTTTGGGAGCTACTTTCTCCAGCAGGGCAAGAGATGCAGCCCTGTGGCAGGGACTAGGTTGCAAGTAGCGGCCTGCAGTGTCTCACCGATGGCATTTTTCTTCTCTAATTAGAAAAAGGGGTATTGAAACAGTGTGGTTCACTGAAACCTGGTGGCAGTCAACCCATGATTGGGTGGTAAACATCAAGGGCTACAGCCTATACAGGCGGGATAAAAGGGGAGGAAAGGCGGGAGCGTGGTGCTCTACATCGAGCAATACATGTCCTCAACAACAGCACGGGGTCAGAGGAGGGGCAAACTGAAGAGCTCTGGGTTAGAATACAAAGGGGTCAGGGGGAAAAGCACTCAACGGTGAGGATCTACTACTGACCACCCAACCAGGGGGAAGAGCTGGACTGGGAATTCTCAGGTCAGCTTGCAGAGGCAGTTAAGTCAAGGGACGTGATCATGGGTGATCTAAACTACCCGGACTGCTGGGAGGAGCAGTCAGACAGATCTGACCGTCCCAAATCTAGTCAAAGGGGCAAGAGTGCTCAAAAGCCCCTGTCACTCACCAAAGGCATTCAGGAACATCTGAAAGCTAAAGAAGAGGCGTACACCCGATGGAAGGGAGGGGCCATAACCAAGGAGGATTATACCTCCATTGCTCGAGACTGTAGGGGGGCTGTTAGGAAGGCTAAGGTGGAGACAGAACTAGGGCTAGCGACCAGGATCAAAGATGACAAGAAGTCCTTTTTTAAATACATAGGGAGTAAAAAGAAAGCACTGGGTAACATGGGGCCCTGCAGGACACACTTGGCAATCTGGTGGTTGCACCAGACGACAAAGCTGACCTCTTTAACAAACTCTCTGCCTCCATTTTTCTGAGCAGAGACTGGGACATCCCCCCTGCCACTGGGATCCCAGATGGACCCAGGAGAGGCACAGCTTGTGGTGGGACAGGACGTGTTCAAATCAGCAGGTCCAGATGATCTCCAGCCCAGAGTGCTGAGGGAATTAGCAGAGGTCATTGCGGGACCCCTGGCATGGCTTTACAAGCACTCGTGGTGCTCTGGCCAGATGCTAGAGGACTGGAAAAGGGCTAATGTGGCCCCCATTTTCAAAAAGGGAAGGAGGACCTGGGAAACTATAGGCCCATTAGTCTTTCCTCGGTCTTGGGGAAGCTCTTTGAGAAAATGATCCAGAAGCACATCTGCGAGGGACCAGCAGGGGAGATTATGCTTAGGGGCAATCAACACAGGTTTATCAGAGGCAGGTCCTGACAGACCAACCTGGTGGCCTTCTACGACCAGGTGACAAAATCCTTAGACGCAGGAGTCACAGTGAACATAGTCTTTCTGGACTTTAGGAAGGCGTTTGACACTGTCTCTCACCCCATTCTCATGAAAAAATTAGGCGACTGTGGTGTTGATGCCTATACAGTCAATGGGTTGCAAATTGCCTGGAGGGCCGCACCCAGAGAGTGGTGGTCGATAAGTCATTTTCGACCCAGAGGGATGTGGGCAGTGGGGTTCCCCAGGGTTCGGTCCTCTGGCCCGCGCTGTTTAACATCTTCATCAGTGACTTGGATGAGGGGGTGAAAAGCACCTAGTTCAAGTTTGCGGATGACACTAAGATGTGGGGAGAAGTGAGCACGATAGAAGGGAAGGGAGATAGGCTATAACTAAATCTGGACAGGTTACAGGGGTGGGCGGATGAGAACAGGCTGGGTTTCAATAGTGACAAGTGCAAGGTGTTAGCACCTGGGGAGGAAGAACCAGCAGCATACCTACAGGCTGGGGAACTCCCTTTTTGTCAGCACAGAGGCAGAAAAGGATCTTGGAGTCATTACTGATTCCAAGATGAACATGGGCCGCCAATGTGGGGATGCTGTCAGGAAGGCCAACCGCACCTTGTCATGCAACCACAGATGCATCAACAAGCAGGTCCAAGGAGGTGACCCTCCCCCTCTATGCAACACTGGTCAGGCTGCAGTTGGAGTACTGCGTCCAGTTCTGGGCGCCGCACTTCAGGAGGGATGTAGACAGCATTAAGAGGATCCAAAGGAGGGCCATGAGGATGGTCAGGGGGCAAGGCAGGCCCTACAAGGAGAGGCTATGGGACCTGAACCTATTCAGCCTTCACAAGAGAAGGCTGAGGGGGGATCTGGTGGCCTTCTATAAAACTTACCAGGAGGGGCCAGAGGGGAACAGGAGAGTCTCTGTTTCCCTGAACACTACCCGGAGTAACTAGGAATAATGGTCACAAGCTGACTGAGAGTAGGTTCAGTCTAGACATCAGGAAGCACTACTTCACAGTCAGGGCGGCTAGGATCTAGAACCAACCTCCAAGGGAAGTGGTACTCACTCCTACCCTGGGGGTCTTCAAAAGGAGGCTAGATAATCACTTAGCTGGGATCATTTGACCCCAGTACTCTTTCCTGCCCATGGCAGGGGGTCGGACTTGATGATCTGCTCAGGTCCATTCTGACCCTACTAACTATGAAGCCATGAAAAGCAGAAGTTTTCTTAAGCACCTGAATCAATTCTTTCCTTTCTGGGTGATTAGAATTTCAGTGAGTTCCAACCAGATGCCAGATTTACCTCTGTGTCTTTCCAATCTTAAATTGAAATCTTACTATGGTGCACAGCTATCTATTTCACCAC